GAAAAGACCCGGCTTCGATTCCCGTCGAATCCTGGACAATCTCATGTGAAATTTGTTCCAACAAAACCAGTTTGGCTGCTTCATAAGGGCTGGGCCAACCCCTGTGAATTGACCTAAACCCTGATCCTAAAATCCGGCCGCTGGGTAGTGACGCTGGAGCGCGTACGCGGAGATGCTACCGACCCTCTTCGTATTTAGACAGGCATTTTTTTTTTTTCAAAGCAAGTGGGACCAATACGTTTTCGGAATCAGCTACCACCGCCAACCTGTCTATCGGTCATATACATATACATTATATATATACATATATACACATATATATAACTACAAGGTGGCAAGAAAGAAAAGGGTGGTCGAAATTCGCCTGATCGCGCGTTGCCTGGCGCGGGGGCCGCCGCCCTGTCTTCCGCCCCCCGACACTACAGGCTGCGCGCCGCCACGCGAACGCGTCTTTTTTCACTGTCTCGTGCTCTCATCATATGGGCCCACACAGGGCAATCCCGCCAGAAATCCTTCTGGGCTTCCCCGAACTCCCCCAGTGATTGTAGGGACTTAGGGGCTTAGGGACCAAGAATCACCCGGGGAGCTCGGGGCTTTCACCTTTACACGATCTGCGCGTCAGGCTACGGACCACCCACTTCCAATGCTGTTATGCACAATATATGTAGTGAGACACAACGCGTTCCAGGTAGTACGTGATCATTTTTTCTACATCAAGCCTATCATTTGCCTTCGGCATGAGGTACTCAAAATCTCGGCTCTGAATACTGCCGATATTTTTCTACGGCAAACGACTGTGTTCGACTCTGGTGTTATAAGGAAAATAATTATCCATTGTCCATACGTTTATAGCCGGAATTGTCAATCTTGAATTTTATATCACTGTTGATATTTTATATCGCATAATTGAATAAACATTTCAGAAAGGAATCTCTAAAATATTCACACACTCCCTCTAAGACATTATCCTAACTTATTTCCAGACTTCCATTAGTTAAATTACTATTGCGGCGGAAGGAAGATAAAATTAATTTTATGTATGCCAGTATGGCGATGTGGCGTATGTAATTGCGCGCGGAATGACTTGCAGGAATGCGTCCAGGCTATTGACGCGTATAGATGGGGTTTTGTCGAGTGGTCTAAGTAGTTTACATGACGTACTCTAGATGGCTGCACCAGCGCCGATTTTTGTCATGTGATTTCCACATCACTTGGGAACTATACTGCGAATTAGGCAACTCTGCCCCTGGCAGGTATCAGCTGTTGGCAGTTTCATCTAAGCTTGAACGTCACCATAGTGATTGGATGAAATCGTCAACAGCTGATAACTGCCAGCGGCAGAGTTGCAGTATGCACGCGAACTTCCTATAAGGAGGAAAAATGTACGATTCAAAATAGTTTCTAGAAAGTTATTTGTGTATGAACAACTTTCTAGAAAATAGATTAAAAACTTAATTGGAGATAAGAATTAACATAATTATTGACTTGGAGGCATTTGAGAAAAAAAATTTTCCCTCCACACCAATCACTTACGCAAGTTTTTCCAAAACAGAAATAAAAGAAAAATTCTTTGTGACAAATATAAAAATTTAAACAAAAATAAATAATTACATTTATAAAAGATGATAAAAATTAGTTCAAGAAAGGAGATCATTTCTTAATCTGCGAAATGCAGAGGATACATTAATTACATTTGAAATTCAGTGTAAGTTAAAAATGGAAAATTTACCTTAAAAAGTAAAATTGGAACTTTATCCTGGAAGATATAATGATAGTTAAAAGAATCAAAATGTATGATAAATTTGTGAAATGTATTGATAAAGATAGGAAACTTTTCAGTATCAAACACAAATTATTGTAACAAAGGTTGAACACAAACAAAAGTTACATACCATTTTCTTTTTCATTGTATTGGAAAAAAAATCACTACACATTTTCATGTGGAAATTCTGACTGCGAGATGCAAGTGCCATTGAAAATACATAGTACATTTCCATGAATCTGTACAAAAGTATAATATATTTTAAGTTTTAATTTATTCTGACTTTATTAAGTTATATGTCTTCAAAAAAATATTCCTAGTACCAAGTTTTCTTTACTCACATTAATATCTTTGTTAGTGAATTTTTCCTTGCATTTCAGAAAGATCCCACCATAGTTTTATTTGTTTAGCTTATTGGTTTTCTTATTTTGGAAATTGTATACTTCAGTTTTCTCTACTTGCTTGCTGCAAATGAATAATGTGGTATGTGTCCTAATCACAAGCCCCTCTTGATTGTAATACAAAATAATGCAAGAACCTAGTATCCAGTTAATGAGAATAATGTCATCAAGATAGTGTTATAATCAGAGTTGAAACATGTTAAAAAGCTTCACATTACAGGTCTAAATAATATTTATTTTCCTGATTGTTTCTTGCAACTTTTGTGATCTGTCTTTGATAAACTTATGTGGATATTGAGGGGCCTGTGAATTATTCAGAAAAATTGATAGACTTATTGCTTCTTTAATGTCATAATGCAATGACAACTTTAAAAGTGTTACCAATTATGTTCTATTACATTTTAAATGAGTGGTTAATTGTTATTAATTATAGTCCCCTTTTATTATTGTTTTTTTATATTCTACGCACTTTATAAATAATTTGGTAGTAACTTATTTCATTGCAATTTTGGTTACTGAAATGTTCAATTGTATTTTAAAATTTAGTTTCTCAATGATTAATTTTTTTCGTTTTTAAAGTGATTTTATTACAATTTCCATATTTGTAATGTAAATATTAGAATTTTGGTTATTCTGTAATATTTATTTTGTATTATAATTTCAAGTTTTTAATTTTTAGAATGTGAACTTTTATCTTTATTATTTTTTAATTCATTTTATACTGTGTGATTTAAATTTCTATAACCTCCATATGTAATTACATGTAGTAGAAAATTAAAAAAAAAAAAATTAAAAATATGTTTTTCAGTTTACGAGTTACCTTTTGACATTTACCATTCATCAAAGCAATTTTTAAGAACATATTATTTTTCCTACCTACGAAGGGATGTCATTGTAACTCAATGGCAAAGAGCAGTACACTTTCTGTATGCAACACATTCCAACGTTCTGGAAACTACTTGGCAGAAGTTCGTTATGCGACGTTCCTTAACAAGGCCGTGTCCGCCCATCGGGCAACAGTGCAGTGGTAAAATATGCAAATTAGTACACAAATTGAACATTGCTATGTTCTCTGATAACAATTGTATTAATCAAATGAAAAAGCTGGCTCGTCCATTAATCTACAAATTGTTGACTCATTGGGAACTGGTGTTTCTGGAGATTTTTCTTGAAGCATTTCGTGATTCCAAAAAGATTTGGGGCCACAATAAATTTTGAACGTATATACACATTGATCCTTTGTCAACAATTTTGAAGTGATTTTTCTATCCTAAAAGTGAGTTCCTACAATCATGAATGAAACATGCTTGAATGACTGCCCAAGGACAGAATTAGTGCTTTCTCTTTCTTTTAACAAAAATAGCCCCATTCTCCAACCCAAAATCTTTGGGCACACAACTGTGATGGGGATTAAAAATGAAATGAAGCCTAAGGTTTCATGCATTGCCAAAACAAGTGGTTGTGTTTCCAGTCATGGGTTGCGAGTTTAAAGATCAGGGTGTTCAGGGTGTGTGATTATAAAAAGATCATGATGTTTTATTTGTTGATGTTTTAAGGAATTTAAAGTGAATAAAATTATACTTTTTGCCATGTGATTTGAAATTAAATGGACAATATTTTCTTTTAGTAGCCTTTCCAACATTCACCTTCACTTTCAAGGTCGCTTTCAAAGCATGGCATGAAGACCGGGCAGAATTTTCTTTCAAGATACTATATCAAAGATTCATTGTATTTGTAGCTCATTTTTATTTTCTATTCATTCTATTCTATTCTGTTCTGTTCTTTTTATTTTATTTCTATACATGCCATTCATTCTTTCTATTTATCTTCATCAATAGGGAGATAGAAAAACAAGAGGTCATACTAAGTCAAAACTACTGACAAAATTTTGCAATGTTAAAGTAGCTACAACTAGTTGAATATCAAGGTTTGGGAATAAAAGACTAATAACAACCATATCAAGTTAAAAATTGGCCATTTTTAGGTACAGGATATATTCAGAAAGAGGTATGGCAATTACTATTTCGAGTTTCACATGACGAATTTAGAACTTTAGAAGCCACTATAAAGAGGCATATGAGAATATTTGTGTCTATGGCCACTAGAAGTGCATAATGGTATAACTTTTACAAAAGTTTTGTCATAATTAATATGTAAATGAGCATGTGGCTAGCTCTTGGTCAGCATGCTCACTTTCCACTATGCAGCCACGGGTTCGATTCCCTGTCTAGCCAAAATTATAGTGTGCATTTTCCTTGCAATGCCCCAGTCTATGTTACTGTGTGACAATGAGAAAATTTACTTCTCAAGTTGGAATATGGTGTATGTTTACGTGCTAACCACATGTACAGGATATATTCACCACATGTACACTCTTAAGCCATGGCTGCGAGGCACGGATGTTGCCGGTAGGCTTAGGCCTTTCACACAAGTATGTAAAAAAAAATAAAAAAAAAACAAAAAAACGTTTGTTTATGAAGGAAGTCTTCAAATAAATTGATAATTGACGAGATAAGTAATAGGACAGAAATTTAAGTAGACAGAACTGTTTATATCTTTATTAATAACAGAATTCACATCTATAATATTTGAAACTCCAATAATGTAGAACTATTCCTTCTTTATTAACTTAATAACTCACAATGTCGGAAATATAAAACAGAACAAATGCTACACATAAAATAATGTTAAAAGAGAATTTCTCAGAAAGCAGTGAAAAACACTCAAATTATTCTTTAAATTATGGATTCTTTTTTGCAAAGCATAAAAAGGGAAAAAATATTAAATTGATAAGAAATTTAAAATAAATACTTCCTTCCTAGAACTTCACTCGACTTTTAATGTTTTTTTCCATGCAAGTCAATAAAGTCAATCAACATTTTGGGCACTTCATTTTCAAACGGAATATTGTAATCCATAACAACTTTCGCAGCCAAGCACTTGAGGCTCAAAGGTAATTGACTATGCAGAATATCCAATGCAGCATCTGGAACCAATCAATACTTAAAATCTCTTCATTTCATTTCATTTTATTTCATTTCAACAGCCCATTGCAAATGAAAAGATTGAACCAACCTGTAGAAGCAGTGTTAAATGGAGTCTCTCCCAAGACATTTACTACATCTGTATGAGCTCCAGCATTTATTAAGAGAGAAATAATAGATGAAGCCCTGTTCCCATCTCTGGAATAAGAAAATTAAAAAATTATTAATGTGTAACCTTTGCAGTGCGAGAGACTGAGGCAGTGAATGTTGGGGAATAAGGAAGAGCGCACGGAGGTGAACAGTCAAACAACACATCATATCGTTTTTGAAAAACCTTTTGGTATTGTAAAAATACTATCTTTGCAGCAGATTTTGAACAATTAGAAATGTGTTTAGTGACTGCATTCCATTTTTTTTAATAAAATGTTGAAAAGAAATAACAAAAATCAAAGATCTCAAAGTTCCTCAAAGCTTGAATAAACTGTAATAGTCAACTAAATTTTTTATCTGTTGATGACACAAGTAATCGAATTAGAAATACCTTCATTGGGTTCGTAAGAGTGTTTATATATAAACATTCTGATTTGAACAAAAAATGTTCTCCTTGTTGAAATAATGGCTGCTCAAATGTACCATACAATCCATTTACATTGAGACAATAAACTACCTAGAAACTGATGGGGCCAGCACAATAGTGGTCTAAGCTACTCTTTTATAAAAAAGAGAGAAAAAGCAAGAAAAATTACTCATTTGTGGAGGTGGGGGGGGGGGGAAATGACGAAATACTTAAGAGCATAGGGAAAAACTGTTCTACACTGATAGTTGTCCTTCATAGTCAAAAATAGTGTAAATAAATAATTTTCAATTTTTATAGAAAAAAAAGGGGAAAAATCCTGAACGTTTATACTTGGTATGCAGTAGAGCTACTAAACATACTCTTAAAATTCACTTCAGGCTATTACTCCCTTTTATTTACAATGCTTAATATTCTTGATAAGTACAGTTAAGTCCCCTCCCTACCCCCAAGATGGACCAGGCTCTAGACAACTTTCAAATTTTAGGTGGAACTCCCCATATTTTCACACTCCTACATTTTCACACTCCTACACACGTCCTGTATCAAGTTTCTTTTGTAAATGCATGAACTGATTCATAATGTACAAATACAACAACGGCAGTATTTCAAATTTAATAAGAATCGGCAAATGTTATCCACAGGATATGGTATGCTGACTACAACACTGCACTTCGCTTACTCAACACTGGCTCAAACAACATTTAACCACAACATCCCCCCTTTCTGCATGTCTTGTTAAGTCCAACCCTATGTGATAGCAAAAACGAACAACTGTGCCACATGGAAGATGGGCAATTGCCGCTTATTACAATAGTGTTCAGGGCAATGGCAATCACCCGTACTGAAATGGAGAGACGTCCACTACCTGGAGAGCGCCAGGGCAGGTCTGTGGTTTGCACTGAACATTGTAGAGAACAATCTGCCAATGGCCAGGTATGCATCAGCAAACATCATTGTCCCAAAAAGCTATTGCCGACTATTCTACTCATGAAATTTGTGTGTTTAACAGTGTTTAACTATACATATAAAATGCCCCAAACAGGGTGGTGTATTTAAAAAAAATTAACAAATTGCTAGCCTATTTTTCTTACCGCTCCTCCCTGCTGGCCAATAATATATGACTCGCCTATCTTAGGAGGCAGTATGTATTGATCACTGTCTTGATGTCCAATACACTGTTAATGTACTATAACATAACCTCTTTGATTTTAACACGCTTTCAGTTATTTTTAATATTTGGTGCATTTTGGAAGTCGATTGAACATACTTTCATTCGTGGAATAGACCTATTAAATATCACTTGTGCTTTGGAAATTCTGAGAATAATTTTTAATCCAGAATTATCGACAATATCAGAAGCACTTGTGATATTACCTATGATAATATACGACGTCTCTATCAAGAACTTCACCAAGCCTAGGTGCTACGCAGGTCTTTCAGCCAGCACTCGCTAAAGCAGGACTGCCATGACAGAGCAAGAAATGGACTAGTGATGTTAATGAAAGCATTGTACAAGTATGGACTAGTGATGTGTAATTTGTATACCAATGTGACTAGTTACAGGCAGAGATTATTTTCTGAATTTACGTTGACTTTTTCCAATTTTCCCATTAACAAATAGAAACAGCTGATCAATATAGAGCTATGCTTTACTACAATTTAATCCCTTTAACATGCCTTCAGACCATTAAAGAAAAAGTCTGGAAGAAATTACAAATAACCCAAAACTCCCATGTCCCTCATGAAGGATGAGAGGCAACATTACAAGCAGAAGTAGGATCTGCTTCTTTCCCAGAATCTGGTAACACCATGTAATGCATTGTGAATGAGGGATTTACTGAAGTTTTCAAGAATGAAACTAAATAATTGCTCATTCCATTTCAAGGTTCCAATCCATTAATGTGACTACCATAAGATATAGTAAACTCTTCAAAGAAATTAGCTTGATTGATCAAAGTAATTAGCTATGATATTCTTCCTGAGCATGTCCATAAGTCACAAGATCTAGAAAGGTTATGTATGGTTAGATACTCTGCTGCAATTACTATCTTACGAACATTTGGAATCCATGGTGAAAATAAAATGTAAGTCACATTCTAACTAGATAAAAGTAATACTGCGCGATAGTGCCATGACTGTACACTGTAAGAGAGATTGTTGTATCAGCTTCCCGGTCCAGAAAGAGAAGAAATCACAAAAAAAAATATGTTTTCCACAAGGGAACTTTTTTCTACCAGACCATTAAAAATAAGGAATCTACAAATTCAGAAATTGTTACCCTACTCAGCACGAATTGGAAAATATTGGGGCAAACAGCTGGCAATGTCAACAGTATGAATCCTGGAATAAAGCAGAACGAAACCATAAAACTAACCAGTAAAATTAAACTTGTCCAGAAATCTTCACCCATGCCATTAGAAGTATGATTAAAAGCACCTTCATTGGAGAGCTCCTAGGCCTTATGGTATTCAGAATTTCTGATATAAAAGATTCCCATGTCGACATGTGACTAGCTGAAATAATTATTACTGTTCTAAAAGAGCCAAGTAAAATGCCAAGATTCCTTACACAAGGTATGACATATTTGACACTGGAAGATGATTGTCAGGACCTGACTAAATACTGTCCAATCTCGTGTCTTCCAACAACGTATAAGATGATCACATCATGCCTTTTGAAAATGATTAAAACCCATTGTGAACAAAACAACATTTCAGTGAAAGAGCAAAAGGGATGTAGAAAGGGTTCTAAAGTTGGCAAAGAACAACTCAAAATAAATTCAGTAGTATGTAACCTGGCATCTAAAAAGAATAGGAAGATGTATAGAGGCATATACAGATTTTAAAAAAGCCTTCGATTCTATTCCTCATAATTGGCTACTAGCAGTGCTTTGGCGTTACAAAGTCAACTTGCCTGTGATCACATTCCTGCAACATGTGATAACTACCTGGAGAACAAAGATTCTCTTGAAAAGGCTAACTCAAACCACTGCGACTGATGTCATCCCTACCAAATCCAGGACATTTCAAAGAGATTCACCACGTCCACTATGGTTTATTTTGGGTATGAACCCTTGTCCAATATGTGAAATGCCACAGAGAACGGATTTATGATAAGTCAAGAATGAAAGTATTATATTGCATTAACCATCTGCCTTGTATGGATGATGTACAAGGTATGTTCCAAAAGTAATGTGTAGCATTTTTTAAAAACAAATCTATAAATCGGATAAGCACAGCATCTTAACATTCTTCAAAGTATGACTCTTGTCAGTCAATACATTTTTGTGAGAACGATTTCCATCCCTTGTATCCTCCCAGGAAGTCTTCGGAGAAGAAGTCCTTTAGAACCCTCATCGTACTTGCTTCAATGTTGTCAAAAATCTGGAAATGAGTTCTCTTCATGACGCTTTTCAGCCAAGGTCCACTAGGACTATAGGGAGGTTGTGGAAGCGTTGTTTCACCATTGCGGATAAGATAGTCTGCAACAGCAAAGGCAACGATGTCTCACCCCGGTGATAACAGTGTTCCAAATAATTAAGATGAAATCCCATAAGTGTACAGCAGCATCTTTTTCAGCTTCACACAAAATTTGATCACATATCTTTTGATCCAAAGATTTCTCCATCGCAAGTACAATATGACTACAATAAAAGAGCTCACAAACAGACCCATTTCAACCTTTCCAGAGCACAGAGACAACTAAGCTTGAACTGTTGAAAAGCTTAACATCCCCTTCCCCTATCCAACCCAGTCTGGCTGCTCTCCAGCTTATAGTTGGATCAGAAAAAATTGTGATGCATTACTTTTGGGACAAATCTTGTATACGTCAACTGAGACACAGATCATATATCTCCTAAAAACTGTGGAAAGATTTTCGAGTGACATAAGGATGCAATTTGAATCGGACAAATGCCAAGCAGTGTGTTTGGTTAATGGAAAGCTGCAAAATACAGCACATGACCTGAAGACCCGTGGAAGAATATGCAGGATGGAAGCAGAAGCAACATACTGGCATCTGGGAATTGAACGAGCTAGACACGTTTATCACACTAGAAAAAAGAATAAACAAACTTCTCAATTTGGCCAGAAAGTATGAAGAAGACTTAACACTTCCAAACCAAGCTATACGCTGCAATTTGTAGAGTGGGCACCATTAAAATGATGTCAGTCCAAAATAATCCTTATGGCATTCTGTATCCAGGAACAACTTTGATGCATGAATGGCAAAACCTATTTATTGAACACATCCAAATGAACCACCCAAGCACATGTCTACACACAATCATTGAACTACTGGTTTATCTCAGGGAAGATCTGCCCTGAAACAGAGGCATCTGTAGAAATACAAGATCAAGTAATTTCAACATGCAATTACAGAAATATTTTGAAAATTCCAAGTGTGAAGGATGTCACTGCTGATACGATCGAGAACAAATTGAATCAACACAGCTCATTACATCAGACTGCACTCATAGCTGGATCAGAATACAGGAACATGCATGATGCCAAAGCAAAAATAATCCGTCAAGATTGGCCCAGAAGTTCCAGTTAACATCTGAAGCACAAGTTCTGCACTTTGTGAATAGCCCAGAGAGTGTTTTGGAGAATCAATGTTATTG